GATGATGTTATTAGCCCCTGGTTCCTTCTCCTTCCAGGGAAAGCACACGGGCAGATTCGTGTAATAATCTGATCTCCAAATTTCATTTCTTTCTAAGACAAAAGGCCCATATAGAAAGATTCAGCTGAGTGGCAATGGATAGAAGGGCAATTTTAATGAGATATCATTAAATGTGGAACTCCATGGCTACTGCCAGATAACTGGAATGCCATATTCCAAATGCAATTTATGTCTGATCTTTAGGAAACTATCTTTCCAAGATTTATTTGTTTGTGATTTTTCAGTTAGTGAAAAGCTGCACTCCATTCCCTTTCATCTCATTGTCTCCTATCCCTGGATTACTTGTCTTCAAAGAATATAAAAGAATTGGAAAGAAAGTGTGCTGGCATGTTATTACAGATGATTGCATGGCTGCCGGCTTCTATCCACTTTGAGACTAGCTGAAGGTTAAGATGATTAAGGGGTGGCTGCAGGTACAACTAGATGCTGAGATGATGTCTGCAGTGAAAACATTTGGAAGTTTTTAGAACGTCCAAATGCTGTAGACTGACCAGATGCTCACCAAATCTGCCTCTTCTTTTTCCAGGCCACACAGTAGATTGCATTTCCAGCTTCCTTTGCAGGCAGGCGTGGTCGTATGAGTGAGCTCTGGTAGAAAAAATGGCCTGGCCCATATAAATCCTCTCTCCAGACCTCCTTTTATTGCTCCCCATCCCCTTACTAAACAGTTGATGGCTTGGAGGCCCTTGAGCCCATCTTGGGCAGAGCCTATCTGGTAGAAGGAACCGGATATTGAACAACCAGAGACACCTGCAGTGGCTTATGTGGGAGATGAAAATAAAATTCTACCGTGGCAAGTCACTGAGATTCAGGGGGTTATCTGTTGCAGTAACTAGTGTTACTCTACTACATGCTCTGCAGGACTCTGGAGATTAGTATAAAACATCCACTACAGTGCCTTAAGGAGTTAATACTCAGGACACAAAACTTCTAGGCCTCCAGAAATGGAAGCCCACGGCAAAAAATCTGTGATGTAATGTTAGTGTGTGTGGATATGTAGTTGTAATTGTGTGTACAAAACATTACTGAGAGCTTACATTCATTCTCTTGTTTAATCATAGTAACATACAAAGGTGGTAGCTTCTGTCATTTGCCCCATTTTACAGATGAATAAACTGAGGCTCAGAGAAGTCAAGTAAGTTGTCTAAGGTCACACAAGTAGTTGCTGATGGCACAGATGAGCCCCTAACCAAGCTCTTAGCCACTGTATTTTTAAAAATTCAGAGGGGACAAGTCTATAGTGTTCCCAAAGGCTACTTGCTAGCTTGATGGAGGAGAGGAAGATTTTTTCAAACCTAGCCATGGCGACCTCCCCAGCACAGGATTCACACTGTCCCCAGTGTGAAGGTAGAAGATCCTTTGCTTATGCTGTACTGACAATAATAAATAGCAAGCACTGAGTACTTAGGAGGTGCCAGATGCTGTCCTAAATTCTTTATAAGGATCAACTCATGTGATACTTTTAGAAAAACCCTACAAGGTAGTTTCTCTTACTGTGCTCACATCAATGGTGAGGAAACTGAGGTAGCAAATGGTGAGGTAACTTGTCAAGATTACAGAAATAATAAGAAGCATAGGTAGAATTTAAACCCAGGCAGTGTGTGTGTTTGGGTGGGGGTAAGGGTTGCTTATGGTGGAAGAAGGCATGAAGAACCCCCCTGCTATGCCCTCTGCCCTATAGTCAGACCAGGGTACTTGTCCCTGGACCATGTCCTACATTACCCCATTTCCTTGTCTCTGTGTTATTCTCTCTGTTGGGGACATTCTCTTCCATCACCATCTACAGACATCCTATAGATCCTTGAAGGACCAATTCAAGAACTACCTTTCTCCTTGATTGTCCTGGACAAAACCAATCTCTTCCTTTTTGTGTTTCCATATAAATGTACTTGTACATTATTTTATCCATTTATAACTTGTTAACTTTTTACACAATTGACTTCCAATACACCCACTACCACCTTAAGAAAACAATTGCCAATACAGTTGGAGCTCCACTGTAAACTTCCTGGTTTGTATTAGTCTTCCTCCCCTCAGGAATCACTGCTCTCCTAAATGGGATATTTATTCTCACCAAGGTGCTCAACTTCTATAAATGTTACCTTGCTATAAAAAGCATCCTGCTTGTTTTATTCAACATCATGATTTTAAGACTCTTCTAACTTCATGTAAGTGGTTCATTCAATTTCACTGCTATATAAATTTCATTTTTATAAATAACAATGTTTATCTCTTCTCTTATTAATGGACATTTGGCTTCTTTACAACTTTATTTATTTATTTATTTATTTAGATGGTCTCGCTCTGTCACCCAGGCTAGAGTGCAGTGGTATTATTGAGGCTCACCACAGCATCAACTCCTGGGCTCAGACAATCCTCCTGCCTCAGCCTCCTGAATCGCTGGGACTACAGATGCATGCTGCCACGACTGGCAAATTTTTCTATTTTTTGTATATAGGGGAGGTCTCCCTATGTTACCCAGGCTAGTCTCAAACTCCTAGGCTCAATCTATCCTCCCACCTCAGCCTCCCAAAGTGCTGGGATTACAGGCATGAGCTACCACACCCAGCAGTAACTCTTTTGTTCAAACGAACCATGTGAACACTCTTGTCCCTGTGCCTTCAAGGACTTTTCTAGATTTTCTCTGATACCTAGGTTTCAGAAAGGATAACATGGCAGTGAAGATTTGTAGAACAAGATTTTATTGAGATGTAAACCCAGAAAGGCAAACAAAATAATCCTTTCAGGGTGGTACATTTCTTCTAGGGATGTCTCAGCATTCCAGGAAAAGTAGCTGTGAAACTGAAAACTGGGAAGAAATTTTTGTCACTCTAATGGGATGAGAGGGCAAAAATTAGAGACTACAGTATGCAATTGGAGAGCCCATGACAAACACTCAACTACTTCAGTCAGGAACCTAAAGAACTGCAAGAGTAAGGGTGAGCATTAAACGAAAACAAGAGAAATAGCAGACAATAGAAACAGTCATAAAAGAGATCTAGATTATATAGTTATCAGAAACAAACTCTAAAAGTACCTATTCTTATTATGTTAAAGGAGAAAAAAGATAAAATCAAGAATTTCACCAGAAATCTAGTAACTACTAGTTGGGTGTGGTGGTGTATGCCTCTAGGCCCAGCAACTTGGGAGGCTGAGACTGGAGCCTAAGCCTCATGGTTTTCTGGAGAGGCTGGAGTTGCTATGCCTTAACTTAATGCTGCCAGCAATAAAGGAACAGCTTTCATGGGGGCAAGTCCTTTTGGTACACTTTGTGTAATGAAAACCATCTTTTAAGTGTAACTGGAGCCAACATTCATTGAGTGTTCACTATGTAGCACCATGCCAAGCCCTTCACATGAGCCATCTCCTTAGTCCTCACAAAATCTATGTGAAGAAGGTAATAGTACTACCAACCCCATTTTACGATAAAGGAAACTGAGGCACAGGGATGGGCATTGACCTACCCAAGGTTACCCAGCTAAAAGCAGAGGGGACAGGAGTTGAAGCCAGCCAGCCTATCCCAATTCCATACCCTCAACTCTCAATAATAACAAGATAGTTAGGGGATGCTAAACCAATATCAAAGGTGGTAAGTTTTAAAAAATACATTCTATTATTAAAAATTACACTCAACACCTCTCCACCAAGACTTTCCAAATGAAGTGAAAATGGGTGTAAAAACAGTTTCTCATATGACAATGTGTGTGTGGTTTTTTTCCCCAAGCAAGCAATCAGTTCTGCAGCAGACACCGGTTGGATGTCTGATGCCAATGGCAAGCCCCAGGTGGTTTTACCTGTCATTCTGACTGGCCAGCTATAAATCAAAGTTCAACTAATTTGCTACAGCAGCTCATAGAACTCGGGGAAACACTCATGTTTACTGATGTCTGGTAAAGGATAGTTAGTACAAAGGATACAAATGAAGGGATGCTTAAGGCAAGGCATGTGGGAAGCTCCATGACCCCTCTGGGTGCACCACCCTCCAGGAACCTCTACATGTTCAGCTATTTGGGAGTTCTTAAAGCCCTGTCCTTTGGGTTTTTCTGGAATCTTCATTACATAGCATCAGCCTTAGATAATGAGATTCAGAAAATATGATTAAATATAGAGTTTATTTGGACTCAAAAGTTTCAAGATGGCCACCTGTTAATGCTGACTCCAAAGAAATGGAATCAGCATTCTGAAGTGGAAACTTTTGAGGGTCATTTATATTCTCAAGGTTCGGGGAAGCTTAACAGTATGTCAACATTTTCCATGCAAGGTTAGTACACAGTTACAACAATTTGATCGCTTATAGGCTGTGTTCTTTTTTAGAAAGGGTATTTAACATTCCACACTGAGGATGTAATAGTCATAGGGTCTTTGACTATGTAATAGTCAAAGATATATATGTAATAGTCATCTGGTCTGAGTTGGGGGCAAAACAATAAAGGAAGAAGTTAATAACAAAAAGCCAATAATTAAGAGGGGGAGGGGTCTTATCTCTGGCACCATTCATTCTTAGTTCATTTTACAGAATAAAAAATAAGGAAGAGAGTTAATCTATAATTAGAGAAGCAGAAATTGCAGCTACATGCTATGTGACTCAGACCACACAGTCACATTTCTTTCAGGACTCAAATAATCTAAAGTTCCAACCGCTTTAAGTTTGAGTTATTTCATTTCACATTAGGTATGATTGATTAAATCATTGGCCTTCTCATGTTAACCTTCTGCCTCTCCTTCCTCTCCTGAGGTTGGAGGAGTGAGGCTGAAAATCCTGAAAACCCTCCAATCCTGCCCTGGTCTTTCTGGTGACCAGCCCCACCCTGAAGCTACCTAGGGGCTGCCAGCCACCAGTCAACTCACTAGCATATAAAAGATGCTTGTCACTTTGAAGATATGCCAGGAAACAGGAGGAGGACCACATATATATTTCACAATATCACACAGTGCTACTTTATTTTTATACAACTAAATATTCTAGTGAATACAGAGCAAAAGAAATAGCTTCAAATATTGTTTGCAGAGAGAAATGTGACATTTGTGCAAAATCATCACTGAATGGCCTCATCAGATCCAGCTTTCCTGTGCTATTGAATCCTGAAAAAGAAAAGAAATGTACAGCTCAGGTCAAAGCATTCTCAGAATGAAGACAAGGCCCATGGGCATGCTATTATACAATGTATTTTACAATTATACCTCAACTTGACATGCCATAAATGCCCAGATCACTTTCCCCCAATTAGTACTTATAAGACTTGTTTCTGCTGTATCTAATCAGGCTATTAGATTGGTATAAGTGCTGTGGCCTAAGGGAACATCTTCCCCTGGTGTATGCTGGGTATTTTGACTCCCAGCAGTGGGACAGCCTTGTCAGGCACCTTGGACTTCTGGGGCCCTGACTGCTGCCGCCTGCTGGCAACAGCCATAGGACAGTGGCCACATGTCCCTGGGACCACATCATCGTGAGAGACAGAGGAGTCCCAGAGCTGCCCTTGTGCATGGCTTTCCTCTTCCACAGGCCTGAAGGCCAAGGAGTCTCCTCAGACTTAAACTCTGGGTCTCAGAGCATCATTGGATCAGAGGGGACAGCTTTGCCTGGCTGTCCTTAGAAATGTCCCCACTATAGGGAGCCTGGTAGCTTCTAGGGGCTTGTTGTTGCACCACCCAAACATGCCAGGGTTGTGTTTTCCTTATCAGAGCGGCCAGGTGAGAAGTCACAGAGGGCTTGGCTGGGCTACCTGGAGCTTTCATCCCCATCACAGCTAGAGCTGGAGATGACATACTCCCAAGGGCATGGAAGTGAAGGCTGTAATGCTGCCTGGGACAGCTTGCTTCTGCCAGACTGGGGCGGGGGTCTCTGTGGTGCTGTGAGCAGGAAACGAGAGGGGGGCAGGGTCCTTGGGGGTTCCAGCTGCTCCCCTTTACTTTGAACAATGGCTGCCCTGGCTGCCTCTCACTTCCCCCAGTCAGACACATAACATTTGCTTGGAAAACAAAAGCCACAATGAAGCTGACCTTGGACTATCTACTGGGCCTTGTCTTCAATGTTTCTTCCATTCCTTGGCTGAAAAAAAAAAAAAGCAGTGACTTACGGATACTGAGACACAACCATCTGAGACCTATATCTTGGTTCAGTTCCTCTTTGTACAGAGCCCTAAGGCCTCATTCTTCTAACTGGGATTTCATCCTCCTCTTCCTTGGGGACCCACCTGGTGAGCCCTCACCCCATGCTAGTGCTGGTCTGGAGGTCCTCCGGGGCAGTGCTCTAGAACTCTTGCTGCTCCTAGGACCCTGACACCATCTCACACCCATCACCTCTACCCACTAGCCAATGCTTGTGTGGTGAGATCCGCAGACCATCCACCGGGACCGTTCAGCCTGGAGACACCATGGGGATCTGCTGTTTCTCAGAGCACTTTCCAGAGAACGATGCAATAATAGGTCATGTAGACCAAAAAAGGGGTACGTGGGGTGGAAGTGGGGGAGGGATGGGAAGAGTCTCTGTGGTCAAATAAGTTTAGGAACCAAATGATTAAGTCAAGTGAAACATTGTTTCCCACGGGACTCCTCAGAGCCTGGGACAGGCCAGGTGCATGTGAATCTTTATGAATGTTGGGTGCAGCGTTTTCCAAACTTATCCGATTTTGCAGAGTACCTGTTAGCACCAGTGATTTACGGGAACACAGTTTGGAGGGACAGATCTAGTCTGATTTGCTCAGTTTTCTATGCAAACACTGAGGATCTCAGGAATTGAGCACAGCTAATGAATGGCAGACCAAAAACTAAAAGAGAACTCGTCTGTCTCTGTGATGTTTGCAAGAATCTCTGTGTTCTAGGAAGAAGGGGAGGATGGTGCCTAGACTCCTCCTGCTAGGGTGTTTTGGGGGCCATGTGTCCTGCATCCTGATGCTCTAAAACAGGGACTCAGACTCTGGTCTGCTTCAGTGTCTGTCCCTGAGCAGCACTCGCTCCCCTACTCGGGTGCCCTCAGCCTCCGTCATGTCAGACCCTTTGCTCTACGAGCTTGTAGGAGGAGATTCTGAGTTTGAGTCATGCCCAGGGAAGGGTGAGAGTCCCCACAATTGGTCACTAGGGGTCCTGGCTGTGCCCATTCTGGAGTAACTCCATAATTGGGGCGGTTGCAGTGAATCAAGGTGAGAAAACAGAGATGAGGGAACATGTTATACCCTGAAAAGGAAAAATGGTCGTCCTGGGGTGGCAGCATTATCCTGCAACACAAAAACATAACTGTTATGCAACCACATTGCATTGAAGGTCTTACAAAAATGTCTGTGGGGATGGCTTTCAAAAAGGGCAGTCCCAGAGCAGCTGCATCCACCACACGGGGGACTTGTCAGAAATGCAAACTCCCACCCCAGATCTACCGAACTTCTGAAGTGGGGCCAGCCGTCTGAATTTTAACAGGTGACTCTGATGCACCACTGAGTTTGAGAATCACTGAAGTATGGGGTTTGTGCATGGCAATGCCTCTCCCCTAGTTGGTGCATGTGGGCCCCTGAGCCAGAGAAAACAGATTCCCAGGAGCAGATGGCCCCAGGCGACTCATTTGTGAGACCAGAGATGAAATATTAACAGCCAGAGGCATTGTCCCATGGTTTCTTCCAGCCCCAGGGAAACCCAAACTTAGATGCTCAGCCACAGAAGGTTCTCAGGGGCATGTGTGAGACCAGTTCTTCCCACAGTGGTCTGGAGGGTGGCAGGGTGGCCAGCTCCAAGCCCTCCCTGCCCTTCTCACATGGAGCAGCTCTCTTTGGGGGCTGCGTTCTCTGTGGGGCTCACATACCTTCTTGGTAAAGTGCACTGCAGCAGCCCCCGTCCCCTGCGAGGGAATGAGGCACAGGTTAATTCAACAGAAACCACATCCACAACCTTGCAGTTGGCCTGAGTCATCCTGCCCCTCCCTGCTTCCATTCTAAGGGAGTCAGAAGTCTGGCACAAAAAAGCAGTTAAAGAGAATGGTGGCAGTGTGGCCAATCACACATTCCTGCTGGGGAAGGCAAGTTCGCTTTCCTGGTTGAGTTGCCATTTGTGTCCAGCTACATTAAGTTACTGCTTCTTCTCCTAATAGCACCAACTTTGAAATTGATCCCTGGTTCAGGCAAATTTTCAAGGATAAGCCATTACAGCTTCTTCAGCTTGTTCTCTGCCTGCGACTCTGCCATAAGAATGGAGGCAGACTGGACCAGAAGCTCGCAGTCAGCCGGCATCAGAAAAACTGCTGCCTGCGCTTAAGACCAGCCAGCTTTCCGGAGACTGGGGGGCTTGGGATTTTCAGAGCTAAAAAGAGGAAAGCCCTGGACAAACTGGGACTAGTTGGTCACCTACTTGGGCTCAGGAGGTGCAAAAGAAATGTTCTTTTTCTTTTTTTTCTTGCTGGCATGTAATAAAACTAGATTAACATTTTGAACACTTTCAGCTATTACTGAAACTGGTAATTTATAAACTTAAAAATTAGAAAAAAAAAACAACTATAAAGAGCTCTGAGAAATAGACAAAGGGTAGGCAGGGCAATGGGAAACAGAGGGTATTGCCAGGGCAATTTTCACGTCATGAGGAAGGGGCAGGGAAGTGACAAAACAACACAAAACCCAAAAAAACTAAGGGATGAAAAGAGCAAATTAGGAGAGGAGCGGAACCATCCTGGGCCACGGGGCCCCTCCTGTGGCCCTTCCAGCCATCTCATGAGATTACAGTGGAGGAAATTGAGGCTCAGAGAGGTGGAGGAACTTGTGCAAGTTCAAGTTCAAAGGACCCAGCAGCTCTGCCCAGAGCTCCCTCCCAAGACTGAAATTCAAGGAGAGAGTGAAAGTGAACCCCAAGGCAACGACATGCTTTTACCACGGTTAAATGCACTTTTTGAGTGGCGTAAAACTACGGCAGAAGAAAAAAGGCACATACTCGTTGCAGAAATCTTGTCATCCGTCTGTTGGCGAGCTTGGCAGCCAGGCGCATTAAAGGATGCACGGGAGGAAACTGCGACAAAGAGGCACTGAGAGGGTTAAGACTTGAGGCTGGGACATCTACACCAGGGGAATATTTCGAGAGCCCAGGGCTGTGTGCATTCCTTTCGACTCACTTCCCTTACAAATGGGTTTAATTTTCAGAGTAAAATCCATTTCCGAGCCTAAGCTTGAAATTTTATGTTTTCAATAAAGAGCTGCTTGCTTTGATTGCAGGTTTCAATTCCAACACATCACTTACAAATATCCCCTTGGGGTGAATCAGACTTTGACCTGCATTAACCCCCAGCACTCTGTACTCCTAGAGGAGAATGTGTTGTTCTAGAAGCAGCTCAGTGCAGAGACTTCTCGCTCCCCAGGTGTGACTTCCTAATCCAAGGGACCAGGTAGAAGGGCAGCACCCTAACCCTCCCCTGCCCCACACATTAAGTATTTTCTTATACTTGTCAGCGACTGCCCCCACACACCCAGGCACAGCCACCTGTCTTTATCTAGTCCTCATGAATCCTCCCTGGGTGCTTTGGTTCAGAGTAAAAGTCAATTTGTGTCACAGTTTGTCTTTCCCCTTCCATTGTTCTCTATCCCTTCTTGGTGCCCTTTTTGGTCTTGATAAGATCCCCCCTACCTGATCTCCCTTCCTAAACCTATAATACTGATTGAGTCATGGGGGAAAAATATTTTTATGAGTATTTGCTTTTTTAAGGATCCTCTTGAAGACTTGGAAAGCCTTGAATATATAAATAAGTGACTTTCTCATGGTAGAATTTCAGTTGCTACGAAAAGGCACCTGAATTAAAAATTATATTCTATAACCTTCCCAATATTCCTTCAGTCCTATGCCACAGAAATTTACCTACACAAGCTGCTCCCGAGGGTAACTCAAATTTACAATAAGAAAGTTAAAGGCGGTGGTTGTTATTCCCGTTGCACATACACATCGTGACAGCCATGGAAGATGCTCATCCATGCAGCACTATTGGGGGGAGGTGGCACTTCACACACCACAGAAGACAAATTTAAAAAACAGACGCTAATAAGGAACCATGTAAGGAGAGCACAGTATTTACCAGGCTCTTCTTGTATGCCTCAGTGCATAATAAAAAGTTGTTTCTTACTTATTTTTTTTTCTTTTCTATAAATTATTCTCTAACTGTTCAGATCTGTCAGCCACCACAGAGAGGGAGAGAGACTATCCCTTCAACACCAGGGAAAATTTCCCCCTAGGAAACTCCTATCCATGGGGTGTCTGGAGCCCCCCGCTTTGCTCCTGGTCTGCACATATTAATCAGGAAGGAGTAAAAGACATGCAGAGGGGAGTCACTTTTACAGATATGTGATTATGATGATATACTAACCCCAGTTTTAACTGGATGTGTTGGCTCCTGAGTTCTGGAGTAGTGAAATAAAAACTAAATAAGAAAAAAAGAAGTAACATTAGTACTAAGTGTCACTTGCGTGGAAGCTGCATGCCCTTGCTGCTGGGCTGGAGGGTACTCACCCGCTTGTATCTGTCTTGGTTATCCTGGAAAGAGAATTGTGAGGGTAAGTTACATGGCATTTTACTGGGGCAGGCAACTGGTGAGGTTTTCAGTATGAGATACACCATGCACCTTCCTGGATTTACCCAAATACTATGAAATAAATTGGCAATCTAAAAACAAATTCCTCCATTATACAAATTGAATAAAACTTTAGTTGATGCAAGATCTTACAATAAAGTTATCAGCAATACATCATCATTTTGAAACTTAATCTCTTCTTATCTTTTTAATTTTGGGTGAAAAAAATCTACTCTCTGATGCACAAAAGCAAATCAATTTCCAGATAACCATCTGACTAAAGGGTGGACTAAAGGGTGAAAGAAAATATCCACTGCAGTCTAATTTGGTGCTGAGTATATACCAGCATTCTGTTTATAAGGAATGGTTGAAATTGACCAAGACTTTTTTTGTTTCCAAAAGCTTTCTACATGAATCTTTACTCTTCTTGCAGAAAGTCCCAATTTTTCACTTCTAAATCCTTGTTAGTGGACCCTTGCCCTTGTGTGCACAGATGACAGCTATATACGCGCATATCTGACTTAAGGATATGCTGTGAAGAAGGTGTCTTACAAAATAATAGTATATGTTTTCATGTACACATTTTATAAAATTGTTAGAGATGATACTGTGAACAATCTTTTAAATATGCTGATCTGGTTAGCATTGACCATTCACATCTCATTCACATTTAAATGTTCTTTTCTCTTTTTTTTTTTTTTTTTTTTTGAGACAGAGTCTCACTCTGTTGCCCGGGCTAGAGTGCCATGGCATCAGCCTAGCTCACAGCAACGTCAAACTCCTGGGCTCAAGCAATCCTCCTGCCTCAGCCTCCTGAGTAGCTGGCACTACAGGCACATGCCACTGCACCCAGCTAATTTTTTCTACTTGTAGTTGTTTGGCTAATTTCTTTCTATTTATAGTAGAGATGGGGGTCTCGCTCCTGCTCAGGCTGGTCTCAAACTCCTGAGCTCAAGTAATCCTCCCACCTTGGCTTCCCAAAGTGCTAGGATTACAGGCATGAGCCACTGCGCCCGGACAACATTTGAACATTCTTGAATCAGCTGAAACCTCAATCAAGACAGAAATTAAAGTTGTTAATAATACTTCTAATTTTACTGCTGTGAATACAATTACATCTTTCTGCAGACTTTATGGAGTGTTTCTTTAGTGGAAGCAGGCGATATCTATGCATTCTCTACCCTCACCACCACGTACATATGTGTGCACACATGCACTTGGGCATACACACAGATACACACAATAAATAGCAGACATACTAATAGCAGAGGCTCTCTGGAAACTATCTCTCTATATCCTTATAATCACCACTTTTAACCAGCAGAAAGTATTTGCTATTTTTTACAGCTCCTGGTCTTCTTGTCAGCATCTGTTCACAGTAGAAAGAGTGTGTGCGTGTGTGTGTATATGTATCTGTGTATGTGTGTGTCTCTGGACACTTCTTGGGCAAACAGTTGGGTTTTTTTGTACCATGTTCATCAACTTTATGCTGTTACTTTTATTTTTCAGGCCAAAAATAGTGAGGAATATGAAGATGCTTTTCCTAGTGCTAATTACCCCGCTAAACATTTCATATGCCACTTCCTTGCTTAATATTATTTTTAGAGAAAAAATATATTTAAACTTTTACTATCTATCTTGTCTATTACCCATTTCCCCAACTAAAATATAAGTTCCATGAGAGCAGGTTTCTCTTTATTTTGGTCACTACTATATCCTCAGCAACTGGCACTGGCATGCTTGTAGTAAAAATCTTTTTTGAATGAATGACTAGTAGGGCTCTGTTCACAGGAACTTATTGCCCTCTTCCCATCTAAGCTTCTGCTAATCCCATGTGGCAACCAGAAACACAAAGAATTTTACAGATATTATTTGCAGAATGTAACTACTTTCTGAACTGCCTCGAGATAAAAGTCCCTAGAGTCACAGACCTGGTTCTTCTGGGGACCAGACAGGAGTGAACTTAGAGCCCAGGTCACTCGTCCAGACATTGGGCAGTGGAGAGAACCAAAGCCCCAGGAGAGGAAGTGACATGCTAAAAGTCATATTTCAGGAAGCAGCAAAGCCAGGAAGAGCCAGTCTCCCTATTCATAGCTTTGAAATATTAGCAGTTTTGTTTACTGAGCAACCCCTTGCTATTCTGCAATTGGAAATGATGAATGGGATTGGCTTTGGGAAAACAGAGAAGGTGGAGGGAAATTCATTCTGAGTGGGCTGTGGCACTTGGGGATCCCCACAGCCCAATTTAATACTGCAGGTGGCCCATGTGACAGCCACACTTCCACTGCTTCTGCTTCTGCAGGGGACACCCTCACAGCCATCATGTGAAGGACAGGGAAAGCCCTAGTGCAAGGCAGGCAGAAGGTAGCAAAGCAATGGAGAACCCTGAGTTCTCACCCTGAAATTTTGCTCTGGGTACCAAAGCTATAAAGATTATTTCTGAAGATGGGAGATGACAATTGTCTTCAAATATATGCATAATGGTTAACTGAAAATAAGAAAAAAATAGTCACCGCATATTCATGAAGTTTAAGACACAAAGTGACTTTTGAGCTGTGAAGAATGAGAATTAGTTCCATTAAGAGAAATGGTAGGCTGGGCATGGTGATTCACACCTGTAATCCTAGCACTCTGGGAGGCCAAGGCAGGATCACTTGAGCTCAGGAGTTCGAGACCAGCCTCAGCAAGAGTGAGACCTCTGTCTCTACTAAAAAACAGAAAAATTAGCTGGACGTTGTGGTGCATTCCTGTAGTCTCAGTTACTTGGGAGGTTGAGGCAGGAGCATTGCTTGAACCCAGGAGTTTGACGTTGCAGTGAGCTATGATGCATGCCACTGCACTCTACCTGGGATGACAGAAAGAGATTCTGTCTCAAAAAAAAAAAAAAAGAGGCAATGGTAACAATTAGCTCCTAAATGCTGTCAGTTACCATGTTCTGCATACTGTTGAAAGCACTTCACAAATATTAAAGCAATCAATCCTCATGATAACATTATGGGGCCAGTATGACTATTATCCCCATATTACAGATGAGGAAACCGAGGCACAGAGCAATTAAGAAATCACCAAATATAAATAGAGCTGGACTTTGAACCTAGGTAGTTTAGTTTTAGGGTCTGAGCTGTTAACTGCAGCATGTGAAGGAGGCAAAGGCATTTCTGACTAAGGAAAAGGCTGTGCAAATCCACAGAGGGCCCAGTGCATTTGAGAAGTAGTGGGAAGTTCAGTGTGGCTGGAGTACAGTATGCCGTGGGTTGGGGAAGTGAGGGAGGAAGAGATGTGGCTCACGATGTAAACATATAGGCTATGCTAAGAATCATGGGCTATCCCGAGACCACCCCTTTGTATGTTCAGTTAAATCGACATTTACTTTGTGTTCATTGAAATATTTCTGTGTGGTTACTATAGTTACTGTTGGGTCCTTTAAATAAGAAATATTATTTTAGAGAACTGCTATATCATAATATGCCTACTTTTAACATACAATATATAACAATATATACAATTAATTTAATTATATATTACATATAATTACAATAATTGTAAGAATACACATGAACTACCAATATTTTATAATAATTTATATTTAAAAGATTCACATGATATTTCCTAAAACTCTCCTCTCTCATACATATACACATTTATACATGCACACAGCATTCTCCTGCAGGTAGCAAAAAAGTGTATTTATTGTAGGTATCAACTATAATATAAACATATGCACTGTTATGACTACAAGAATTATCATATGTATATTAATGTTTTTTACCTTAGGTTGGCTAGAAAGAGTTGCCCACTGACTCAGACAATATGCCAGTTGCTAAAAAATAAAATGAAGAAAATGAATCACAGCAAGGAGGACATAAAAAGAAGTAGTTTAATATGTACAAAAATACAGTTCAATAGAAGAAACAGACCTAGTGTTTGCTAAATCAGTAGAGTGACTATAGTAAAAAACAATCTATTCTATATTTCAAAATAGCTAGTAGAGAATAATTCAAATGCCCCCAGCATAAAGAAAAGATAAATGTTTAAGGTGACGAATATTCCAATTACCCTAATTTGAGTATTTAACATATGAATACATCAAAATATTACATGTACCCTGAAAATATGTACATCTATTATGTATCAACAAACATTTTTAAATGAATTAAAGATAAGTATAAATTCCTTAGTCAATAGAATTCTATTACAGCATATTTAAAGTTCTAAAACTGTACCATTTATGAACTTTGCATTTTCTTCTCAGAGTGACTTCACAGAGTGACAGTGACTTTCAACACAACTCTCAGGATGCATTAAATGAGGATATGAAAATGGCAACAGTGAGTTTCAGCTGCAACTGAAAATCTGATCTTAAAATAGTACAAATAGTTTTAAGTGAGCATTATCCACATGATGCTTTTGAGGCTCAGACTAAATAAAAATCTCACATTACTGGATAATAGGGTACCTCAAGCTGCACAATATCCAAGCCATCTGGAAGATCAGCCAAAGGTTGCGGAAGTCCTGTTGTGAGAAATCATAAAAATATCAATTAGCGAAAGAGGATATAGCATTTACTTCCAAATCTTTACCATGAAAAAAATACAGAAGTTCTAGTACAATAAACCACCAAAGTACCAGACGAAAGAGGTCAATGGGAAGGTAAGATATCATACAATGCTGTTAAAAGAATTTGCAAAGAAAACACACACTTCTAGACGTACCACTAGCAAATCTGAGATTTGTACAAAATTAATTTAAAACAGCATTTTTTTTTAGTTTACCAGGAGTTTTCAGTAAAGATATTAGCAACTCAGGAAAGAGGGGGGAAATACCCAAGTAATAGCTTATTTTGTATTTTGGTGGAATTTATGAGAATGACTAGCAGGAGATGATGTGAACAAAGTATTTGCATCATAATCACCCTTGGAGCTTTTTAAAAATCACTCACCACTATACCAAGAGTACAGTCTTGCAACTATTAAGATAAACAAATACTTGTCTCTCTGCACAGACTCTGCAGGGGTGGGGCTCTGGGAAAGTTTTCTACTAGCATGCCACTGGACCATGTCCACAACCTTTGTCTGACTTTAATCAACACCTCTTCTCATTTGCATGTGATACACTTTGAGGAATAGCAATAGTGTAGTCGATAGAATTGATTGGATAGGTCAAGACTAACAAGATGAAATTAAATGGATAAATATAAAACGATGAACTTGGATTTTTTAAAATGTGGGAAAAGGAATATAGGGTTCAAGAATAGTTTATATTTAAAAAAAAAAAAAAAAGACGGTGGTATTTTAGTCCCTGCATTCTCTCTATAGCCAAGAGAAAGTGAAAACAATTTTAAGTTAGATTCAAATAATTGTGACAAAACCTCGAAAGATAATAGCCTGACTTGAAATGATAGGATATGAGGGAGAGTTTAAGTAACTGAGCATAGTTTTCTCTGGAAAGAAGAAAATTAAGAAGCGTATGCTAATTGCCTTCCACTATTTTGAGAACTGTCATAAGTAGGAGATATTAGTCTTATTCTGTGTTGCCCCCAAAATCCGAACTAGGACTAACGGTTAGAAATGACATATGATCATATTTCAGCTTAGTATAAAGAAGTTTTTGATGATTGGAATCATTTAATAATGCAAAGTAGTGCAAACCAATCCTATAAGGATTTATTGATGGGTTATGTGTTAATACAAAGGCAAAGACCTCAGCAGCCCTGTCCTCAGGAAACATAAAAAAAATAGGAAAATAGGGAAGTGGAAATAAATATAGAGAAAGATAAGTAAAAAATAATAGCAGATTTCTAAAAGTGGAAAAAACAGGATTCTACTGGAGCCCAGTAGAGGCAGCGGCTGGCTATCTTAGGCTGGTAGTGAGCTGGAGGTCATTGAAAGTAATCAAATCTGGAAGACTTTCTGCAGAGAAGCCATACAGGGAATTTCTGCATTCCGTGAGAGGTTAAACCAGATGACCTCCACAGTTCCTTGCAATGCCCAGGTTTTGCGATTACACTATTAGCATTAAAAGACATGATAAAACATACTGTTTGAAATATGCTTTCTCTTTCAATACATTTTCAAAGATGTTCTACTCAATCAAAATTCTAATGGAAAAACCTAAAATTTTGAAACAATCCGTGTTTTCAACTGTAGCTGTTTTGCCATTGCACACGTCCCTGCATACCATGGAGATTCATAGTTAACTGGTTCCCATCACAAACCCTCACCCCACCCCTGGTTCCTTACAAACCGCACTGGTTCTCAGAAGTTGGTGACGCGCCGCCCACACCAGGTCAGCACCTCGGACAGCGCCACAGTCTAGGGAGACCCAGGCTGCCACTGCACTCTTTGGGATCCTGCCCCTGGAGCCCATGGGAAAGGCTTTGAAAAGATTCCTTTCCCCTGTGAGCACTCCTCCCCTGTCCCTTCTCCAACTGCCCGTCAGTTTTCAGTCTTTGGGGCTGTAAACTCAGTGTTACTGCTTCTGCCCTCGTCCCTTCGGAATCCAGGGAGCACAAACCGCTCAGCAGTGGGACCTTCCCCCAACTCTCGCCGCAGCCTGCCTCGCCCTTCACAGTGTCGGAGGCACGTATCCAGGACATCCCTGGGGTAGGAGCAGTTTAACTAACGCAGTCCCACAGGGAAAAGTCTCCTTCGGTAAAAGGCTGCAGCTCTGCCCATCCTCTCTTAAAGGTTAGAAGCAAATTCGAAGCCAGAGAGCAAGGGGGTGGAAATGAGGGGGAGGGGAGAAATCTTGGCTCCCTCCAGAACTGCCCTGGAAGGATCCAGGTCGGCCCCAGTTTCCCTCAGATTTCAGGCCAGGTGGGGTCTGAAGAGGGTCCCCTTACCTGAGGAGGGAATCTGCAGCATGCAGAAGCAGTAGATGACCAAGATGGGAGGGAATTGGGGAAGAAGATGTTTCATTTTTGGAGTCTGGTTTCTCTTCTCTGGCCACAGACTCGTGCTGCTGTAAAGGGAGCTGAGGATGTCCTCAAGTTCCACAGGCAGAGGCAACCCTCCGCCCTGCCTCTGAACAGCCCAGTGGAGAAGGTGCCTTTATTTGCAGCGCCCTGGAGCCCATTGGCTGACCACCAATCAGCTTCGCACAGGAGGACCCCGGCTTTCTCATAAATGTCATGCTGGGCCCTTATTTGTAGAATAATATCCTCTGGTGTGGGCATTGTAGAGAGTCATCTTTTTCAACCTAGCAATAAAAATAAAAAGTGGAGAGTCATAATTGTTATTCTATAGTGGTTTGAGAAATATTTCTCACTCAAGAAAGGCTTTTTCTCCTTTTTTAATAATAATAATAAAAAAAACTGGTCATACACTTATAAACTCTTGCATGATGAAGCCTTGTTTCCCAAGAAGCTGTTTATTTTCCACTATTAGCAAATGTTGTTTTGTAGTCTTCGGTGCCTCTGAGAAAGACAGAATTTGGAGTCCAGGACAGAACATTATAAGAAACCAAAAGTTTAATTAGGGCTCTGTTTTTGTTTTTAATCATGGTTGGAAATTAGTCTCTTTATGATTTTTCCAGATTCATTTCCATAAGCAAGTTAAATATTCTAACTTAAGTCAGCATTCAAGAAAACATGATAGCGTTGTTATTTAATAATAATAAAAATTTAAAAATGACTGCATATACTGAGATTTTACATGTTGGGATCTGTTTTAGGCATTTCACATAGGTTATTTCATATAATTCTCACAGAAACTACATAAGAAATATGTTATCCTAATTTTATCAATGGGGAAACTGAGGCTAACAGAAATTAAGGAATTTGCCCAAGGTCACCTAGCTATCAAGGGTGAGAGGAGAAATTTGGACCCAAAGGTATCTGACCCCAGTCAAATCTGTAGGAATATAGGATTTTTAGATGATAAATTAATTTTTTTTTTTATAAAAAAGCTTCCTTGAGATTAGATATGAGACAGAAAGAAGATGAGGAAAGAACAAAGTTTTCTATTTCTTGCAAAAAGGGTAACATATATACCATATTTCCCCAAAAATAAGACAGAGTCTTATATTTATTTTTCCTCAACAAGACACCCTAGGGCTTATTTTCAGGGGATGTGTTATATTTTTTTAAGTACAGTACAACAATCTACATTTATTCAAATATAGTTAAGTCGTCTTCTGCTGGAACATCATCATAACTCTCCAAACCCTGAATTCCATCCTGAATTTTTACGACTCTATTTCCTTTAGAACCATTGGCTGGGACCTGACAGGGGGAGCCAACCTTGTTGGTGGGGCTGCCCGCACATTTCCGGTCATCTCTGGGATAGTAGCTGTCATGATGGGGCAGAAGAGAAGGGCTGCTTGTCTTCTTTACTGCTCAGCCACAAAATGCATGGGTTGTGCAGATACACTGCATAGCCACACCCATCACCAGGTCTTATTTTGGGGGTAGGGCTTATATTACTCAAATGCTTAGAAATTCTGCTAGGGCTTATTTTATGGGTAGGTCTTATTTTTGGGGAAACACAGTAGTATATATGAAATAAATATTTTTAGTTTTTTTCATTATGGTATCCTTAAGTTTTGCACTTTTAGACATTAGGAGGTAACTAACAACTATCAGATGCTTACAGTGTGCCTCAAATATGTTAATGCTTTATCTAAGTCTTATAACTTTTTTAATGACTGAACTTTTTTTTCATTTTTAGAGACATGGTCTCACTCTGTCACCCAGGCTGGAGTGCAGTGGCACAATCATAGCTCACTGAAGCCTTGAACTCCTGGGCTCAAGCAATCCTTCCACCTCAGCCTTCCAAAGTGCTGGGATTATATACATAAGCCACAGTGCTCAGTCTGACTGAGATTTTCAAGAATAATTTTGTTTGGGAATTGCTCAGAAGGTACTATTTATTTGTGATTTAAAATGTGGCATTTTGCCAAAAAATTTCCAGTTCTTAACAGAGTGGGAATTATAAACTACTTTATAGCCGTAATATTTTGCCTACTTTCTTGAGCCAGCAAGAAAAAGATTTCTATTTATTACAGTATTTGCCATTTTGGTTCAAGGAGAATAACCCAAGGTCATTAAATAGCAGGCAGAGATTACACTGTTTGTATTAAAATACACCCACTGCCTAACAGCAAGTCTTTACTGAATGAAAGGGGGAAAATGAATGAATTCTTTTTGAACATAAACCACTTATCTACATGGAATTAAACACAATTACAGACATTTTAGACACACAACACACACATAATAGCAAAGGTTTGTGGTAGTTTTATTGTCAATCAACAAATACTTTTTGAATGTCTGGTCTGTGTCCACAAGCAAACTGCTGCTATATACAGAAACACACATTTTTCAAGTAAATCTTTCTGATAACTCTGATTTGTAACAAATTTATGTTTCCTTTGCATATTTTCCCCATATTATTTCTCAGATATTCAGGACAAAAAATTATTATTATTATTATTATTATTATTATTAATTTTTAGAGATAAGGTCTTGCTATGTTGCCCAGGCTGGTCTCAAGCTCCTGGGCTCAAGTGATCTTCCTGCCTCAGCCTCTCAAGTAGCTGAAACTGCATATGCATGCCACCACACCCAGCTAAAAATACTATTTTTAATGCTAATTCAGAAAAAAGGGAAAGAATAAGAAAAAAAATCTGTGCTGTTACTATTCAACAACCTTGTTATGAATTGTGTTTCTTCCCCCATAATTCATGTGTTGAAACCCTATACTCCCATGTAACTGTGTTTGAGATATGGCTTAATTAAGGTTAAATGAGGTCATAGGGTGTGGCCCTAACTCTAGGGAACTGATATCCTTATAAGAAGAGAAAGAGACAACAGGGATCTTTCTCCTGCTAAATGCCTGTAGAGGCAAGACTATGTGAGGACGCAGGAAGAAGGAGAGCATCTGTCTGCAAGCCAAGGAGAGAGGCCTCATCAGAAATCAAACTTGTTGGCACCTTGATGTTGGGCTTGCAGTCTCCAGAACTGTGAGAAAATAAATATCTGTTGTTCAAGCTACCCAGGTTGTGGGTTTTGCTATTGAGTCTAAGCAGAATAATATAAACACCCAAGAATTTTTGGCCAATTCAATACCAAAAAAGAAATGAAAAGTAAAAGTTGGAAACTCTCATTGTTTTCACATTGTATGATTATATACCCAGACTGTCTACCCCAAAATTCAGTAGAATCAACTGGCAAATGATTAGAATTAATAAAAGTTTACCAAAATGGCCAGATTTAAAGAAAACTATTGTCAGAAGTCATTTTCTTAGACATGAGAAAAAATAAATGTGTCAGAAAATGTAAATAACTTTAAGAACTATGACATATTGAGGAATAAATCTGCAATACATGAAAAAGAAAACTATAAAACTTTACTGAAGGACATAAAGGAATATGTGAATAAAAGAAAAGGCATATCATTATCTTCAATAAGAAGATTCAATGTTGTTAAAAGTTCAATTGATGACAAATTAACCTATCAAGTTAGTGTAACACTAATTAAAATTCAAAATTACTTTTCATGGAATTTTAAAACTGATTCTGAAATTTATTTGAGAAAGAAAATATTCAAGAATATTCAACGATTTTTTTTTAAAAACCTGACACTTTACCAATGTCAAAATGTACTATAAAGTAGTAGTAATTGTTGTATTGTGACATTAATTTAATTATTGAGCCAGTAACAGGTAAACAGATCAATAGAATGGATCATAGAGTCTTGAAGGCAATCGGTTTAACATAGAGTAAAGGCTTCTTGAAGGTGATTAGTGATAGGTAGCACCCAGCCAGGAGGATGCCTTTGATAGGCAAACTAAACAATGCAAAGTCACAAATGCTCCATCTGGTCCCCGAATCCCAGAAGGCAATTCTCCTCTGTCTTAATCATCCCAGGATCAAGTGCCAGGCAACTAAGAACTATCCCCATAGCCCAAAGCCCACCAACATTATTCAAACTAGCTAATCCTAAATCATTCACTCTGCTCTGCCTGGCCTTCTCTTAGGAAGCCCCCAGACAGGCAGTGTCTAAACCTTCCCTTTGCTCCTGTGTCCTACCTCCTGACAACCCGGCCACCCCGGCGTTGTTCCTGTGTGGTCCTGAATGGCACGCCTCCTGCCTCTAGTACCTATGAATATAATACACTTCGTTTTCCCTTCGTTTTTCCATGTGTCTCCTCTTGGGGCCACAGTATCTAACCATCACATAAAAGAATATAAAACACCTGCATACAGACACACAGACACTTATATATAAAACCCTGTGTTAGAAAAAAATAGAGTAAAAACTTTGATTGGAAAATTGTTCTCAAGCAAAACTCAAAATAGGAAAGCCTTGAAGAAAAACAGTGATACATTTTAAAATATTTTTTAAAGTTCTATATGAAGAAAGATACCATAATCACTATCAGCAGAGAAAATACACAGTAATATAAAAAAGCTATGGGGATACTTGGATACTTGAGAGAGAGAGAGAGAGAGAGAGAGAGAGAGAGAAAGGAAGGAAGGAAGGAAGGAAGGAAGGAACAAGGGAAAGAAGAAAGGAAAGAAGAAAGGAAGAAAGAAACAACCTAAATGTCCATCAAGAGGTGAATGGGGAAAAACTGATACATACATACAATGGAAAACAATATTAAATAAACTATGGTATTCATAATACAGAAACTTATATAACTATTTAAAAGATGAAGATAGATCTATGTGTATTGACATGGCAAATTCTCTATAACATGAGTAAAGAAAAAGAAAATTATAAAACTACACACCATAGGCTGTAGTAACAGATAGCTTCTGCTCATAACAAAACACTCCAAAACCTAGTTGTTTAAACAACCAATTATTTAGCTCAGAATTCTGTAGGTCAGCAATTTGGGTGGGGCTCAATAGAGCCATTCTTATGGTTTGGGCTGGGCTTAGGTAATGTCAGGTGGACTCATTTACACATTTGCATTCACCTGGTGAATTAATGGGGTTCCTGAGACCTTTCTTGATGGAGTTGCTCATTCTCTAGGAGGTTACCCCATGCTTGATCTCATGCTCCTTTCAGACTTCTAAGACAGTGAGAGGAGAAGCCAGAAGGCCTCTAAGTCCTACATTTGCAACAGGCACATCGTTTCTGCATTATATTGGGCAAAGCCAGTCACAAGGCTAATTCCAACTCTCAATGAGATGAGCCGAAAAGTGTTATGGCCAATTTTGCAATCTACTAAGCTCCACTTATGTCAAAGCTTATTCAAAATAGAATATGCACTTACATATGTACATATACAGGTAAATGCAAAGGAAAGAGTGTGATGTTATATACACTCCCCCCCCCCAAAATAGCAGAGGTTCTCATGCAGTGGGATTGTGAGTGGTATTAAAACTTTTTGCAGTATATGTACTTAAAAATTTTTGCAGTGATAATTAACAAATTACTTTTATAAGTAAAATTAAATTTAAAA